TCAGGTGTCCCGGAAACGATGTTGCCACACTTAGTCTTCAGCTTTGAAAGTTGGCTCTTTCTGGCAGACAGATCTCTGGCAAAGACTTTGGAGCCCTGGTTCCGCTCGATCGTTTCTTAAATACGAGCAGTATTAAAGTTGCGTAAGTCTCGCCGCATGCATTTGGAGATCTGTCTGTTCAGTTGCCTGTATGCTGTCAAATCTGTTGACGATTGCAGCCTCATCTCCCGTCTAACAGCCATGAGATTAAGAGTGTGATCGGAGAGTTTTTGTGTTCTTCTGCGGCGGGTCTTGCAGAACTTAGCTCCGACCGCATGGACAGTTTCCACGAGCTTGTCATTCATATCGTCCACAGCATTGCAATCCTCTAGGCACTGAAAGCGGTTTTGTAACTCTAGCTGAAAGGTTTCGGGATTCTGGATCAGAGCACGAGGGGGACGGAGCGTTGACTTCATCAGACGAGACCTCTCCAACTTAACGTTTAGGTTCAGTGTGCCTCTAACCATTCGGTGATCGCTGCCAGTTTTCACCCTTGCGATCACTGAGACATCACTGAACAGTTGGCGTCTGGTCGTCATAATGAAGTCAATCTCATTTTTTGTCGAACCGTCGGGGCTCGACCAGGTCCACTTCCTGTGGGGCCGCTTCTGGAAGAAAGAGTTCATCATAAAGAGTCCCTCTTTCTCCATAAAGTCGGCCAGCTGCTGGCCCCTTCGGTTCCGTTGTCCTACTCCAAATTTCCCTACCTTCAATTACCGCTTTCTCTTGTGCCTAGTTTTGCGTTGAAGTCTCCCATCAACACCCTGTAGTGGCTTTTGGAGGAATGCATGATCTTGAAATATCCTCATACATTTTCTCCACCTTCCTCATCGGGGTGTGCCGAGGTTGGTGCGTAAACCTGTATGACCTTCAGCGAATACCGTTTGGTGATTCTGAGTATCAGGTACGCGACCCTCGTCGACACACTCCCAATCTTTACAACGTTGTTGACGAGAGACTTGTGGACGATAAATCCGACACCTCCTTGGGACAGATGGTCGCCCTCCCGGTGATAGAACAAGTTGCCGGACTCGAGGATTGCCGTGTCCTCCCCCTCTCTTCGGACCTCCGATAATCCAATAATATGCCAGCGCAACTTGTCTACCTCTTCTTCCAGCTCCAGTATCTTCTCGTCAGTCCTCAGGGTGTGTGCGTTATATGTTGCCAGGTCGAGTCTTCGTAGGTGGCAACCGAACCTCCACCGGAGATTCTTAGCACCCCCTGCCCCGCCGTTACCATGGTCGCCACCGTAGCCAGGAATAGCGGGGCCGCCGGGGACTGGGGGCCGTTTTTTTGCGTCATTATTCATGGGGGGATATTTGCCATAGTTGCCACGCTTGGCGAGCGGGTTGGCAACCGCAGTTTTTTATTTTATCACAGTTGTTATCAGGAAGATGCTGCTGCCCATCTCCTTTCTGTCTCCCTCTGTCGCCTCTTACGACACCCACGGGAAGATATGGGGTAGTGGATATTCTCAACCGCCACTACACGGCTGGCTCGGGGATGGCAACGCGTCTCCATTTTAATTTGGACTATGTATTGGCTTGTCACACTTCTATTAAAAAATTAAATAATATTTTGTATTATTTATATCATGTTTGCTAGCATAAAAATTGCTGTTAAAAATAAACAGTGCGCTGACATTACAATAAACTGTGATAATATACATGGCACAAATGTGTTACTAAATACAGATTTGGGATGACCTTGTTTATTAACCTTTTAGATTCACACAGTTCGGGGATTTAACTCCTTAGTATGTCGATCTACTTTTTTTTACCTGATGTGTTGCAGTTGCGGATGTAACACATCAGGTAAAAAGTAATATGGTTTTTCCAAAGTTTAGATAAATATTATGGAGTATTCGATATAGATCTTAATTTTAAGGGATTCCTCGAAAATTTGGTGGTTTTTATATTTCCCATATTTTTTAAAGTTTTATAGATTACGAATCAATTCATTTTGACAACCTTGGATTTTATAAAATGAAAACACGATAACATGTAATTTTCTTGATAGAAATAAAGGTAATTTTATACTATCGCGATCACCTCGTTTTTTGGCTCTAGAAAATCGAAAAACATCCGATTTCGATAAAATTTCTTACGGCGTTAAATCTTTATTACGGCGGATTTATGAAAAAAAAATATACAAGAATAAAAAATGAAAGTTATATTGGTTTCAAGGCTTTAAATGTTCATAAAAATGCACTCATTCACGTATAATTGTTGATAACTTTTTTTAAATAATCGAATGAAGTTGTTATAATTATTCTTCATAATTTACACAAAAAAAAAATTAAATTAAAAAAAATTAAAAATGTTTGTTTATACATTTTTTATTTTGGTTTTTATTGAGTTTAAGATCGAGCGATGCGAGCTCGGGACTCGGACAAGTTAGGTTTCGTGGTTATTTTTTATAAACCACTCGGAAAGGAATTCGCGGGGCTCTCCGTCGACCGGGCTTCCTTCGACTGCGCTACGGAAAGGAGTCGACGGAGCCCCGCTTGCGAAAGCACAGATGCAACCATATTCCCTCACTGTCATAGTCCGAAGGGTGGGCAAAGACCGGAGAAAGATCATGCGCTGGGCCAACGGCTTTACGTGATTTTTGAGGCACGGAAGTGAAACATGGCCAACTTTCTGAATTCCGTAGAATTTCTTGACAGAAAAGCTCAATAACTGATTTATGCCCCGACAGGTTTCGAACCCGGGACCTCACGAACAGCAGTCACGTTTATGACCACTCAACCAACGAAGCTGTCTAGAGTCTAGTAAAGTAATAGGATGTGTACCCCTGACTTTGTAAATTGTCAATTTGTAATTGTAAATTTTATCATTTCATTGGTATATTGCCTCCCCCTATATTCGTCGTTAACTGTACTACGTCGGCACGTATTTGTTTGTTTATTTGTATATCAAAGCTTGTCTTCATTGGCCCGGCGACCACTAGCCAGTGATAGCCGCAGATAACCCCGGTGAGGTCGGCCGCCTTCCACTCAGTTGCGAGTTGTGACTCTTCTAGATTGTTTTATGTTCTCTTTACAATGATAACCTCTTAACCTCTTCGGTGCGTTGAAAGTGTTTCGCTACGTTAGGGGTTCGATAATGCAATTCAATTCTATTGTTCTTATGTCAGTAGTTTTGTGATAGGCGATAATTGACTTCATTCATTAATTAAATTCTATTTACTACTATTTGTAAAAGTTCATGTAGCGTCAAAAAAGACTAAAAAATTATTATTAGATATAAATTGTAGATCGCATCGTGAATTTTGTAAAAATAGAAAATTTTGTGTTGACAAGAGTTACTTTTAATTTTGTTAAACAAAACATCGTAGTTCAGGGGATAAGTGGTTGATATAAATTTCACAGTCAAGTACTGTGCCAAACGTATTCGATCCGATCGGCAACAACTAAATTGTTAGTGCTAATTTACCACGACATCAGCGGTGAAGGAAAACATCCTGAGGAAACCTGCATGCCTGAGGAAACCTGCATGCCTGAGGAATAGAAACATTTAAAAGTTAAATACTTTTTAATTCGCTTTTGTCGTAGCAACCACGCCTTAGAAAGTTTGTTGAACCAATTTCAAGCTCAGTTTGGATCCAAATAAAAAATGTCAATATTGTGTGCATTTGATGTCTTCTTTTGTGCATGGGGTAAAAGAGTTACTTTTTACTAGTTAATTAATAAATCAGGTTTTGTTTTGTGGAAAATCCATTATATTAAAGACGTTAAAAATTAATCAGGTAATATCCGCGTTATAAAATTAAATTGATATGGTATTACCTAGTTTGAAGTGCATCTCCCGCCCTCCCTTAATTGCGCGCACTATTCTCGTCACCACTAATTTTAACATCGCTCCCCCCAACACCATTATATTAGAAAAAACACACCACTGTCGATAATACAATACGTGAAATAAATACTGCGGTGGCTGACCGCTATGTAATCTTAAATTAAATAGCAGTAACCTGAATTTTTCCTATCTCTGAATAACCTCTTGACACGCACTAAAAACATCTTTCTTCTTCTTTTTTATATAGAATAAGATTGAGAAACGAGCACACAGTCCACCTGATGGTAAATGGATCCTGTGGCAAATCAAAATGCAGATGCGTTGTCACGAGATGGAGAGAACAGGAAATTCTTTTTTATTGGAAACGAGGCATTCCAATAAAAAGGACTTCCGGTTCTCTACACGAAACACACCAGCATTAAGCTGCTGTGCTTCGCATGACAAGCTGCTTTTTCACGCTATAAGCATAACATAGCCGCAGCGTGGCTCTAATACGTATAAAACTTCTTTCATTATCAGCCCGAAAAAGTACTGCTAGTCGCAACATCTGGACCTATAAAACTATGTTGTTGGTGGTGTTGTATGGTTTCAGATTCATATGTCCTAATTATTGCCAAAGGTTTTTTGTTATCTTTTCTTAATATATTAGGTACAGTATACAATTTTGTGTTTTTGTCTATGTTAAATATACGGTCTAAAGCTTAAGGTGACCATATCATTTGAACGTACTTTATACTTAGAAGTGTTTACGCAGGCGCAAGGCTTGCACCGCGCACGAGTTCGCCCGCGAGAGCACGTTGCGAGTAACACGCCTCGTATTTAACATTATGGGTCTTCAGTTCTGTACATTCATCATACGAAACAGGCTGGTATTCTGTGAGAGTTTGGTCCTTCTCGACCCATTCGTGCTATAATTATTATATAGCTGTGGTTCTATCACGTATATAAATAAATAAAGTAGTATATAGCGAACGTGTGCGTGTGCTTGCGACCAGTGGCGTGCCCGCGCAGAAGCGCGTGTACAAACTGCGTGTATATTGTACATGCTTCGTATTCAGTAATAAGGGTTTTCGGTTCTCTTCACTCACCTGCTGAGCGTAGGAAGTACGAGCCCTCAGTGAGCGTGTACTACAGTACGGGTGCTGCGGTGTAGATGAGTACATGGTGTGTGTTTGTGTGCGGCAGGCGCGCGGCGTGCCGGCGCACGAGCGCGTGTACACGCTGCGCGCGCGGCCGCCGCGGCCGCCGTCACTGTTGCCGCCGTCGCCGCTGAGCCTGGCGTCGTCGGGCGACAAGTCGCTGGCGGCGGCGGCGCGCTCGCCCTCCCCCCCGCCCGGCGCTCCCGTGCCCCCCACCGCCAGCTTCGTGTGCTACGTGTGCGGCGTGCCGGCGCCCAGCAGCCAGCTGCGGCTCGTCTACTGCTGCGCGAACCCCGAGCGCGAGCCCTACTACCCCTTCATCACCGCGCTCAAGCCGCACCCCGATGCGAGCCCCATCAGTCCACAGGGTGAGTCACCAACTACAAGCATAACTAATAATAGATACCGTTATCGTTAAAATAAGAAACTGGCAACAATGGACCTGTTAATCATTCACTTCAGAGCTTCTCTCAATTGGAGCAATCTTTTAATGAAATTAACCTGACTGGTATTTCAACTTCACCTACTGGGTAATCCTAGCCGTGGTAGCTCAGATGGTTAACGCTCGCTGTAAATATAACAGAGTGCGAGTAACCCGGGTTCGATCCCCGCCAGCACCAATGAAATTGTTAATTGCAATTTTAAGTGCTGATTTACCACGTGCTCGGCGGTGAAGGAAAACGTGAAGAAACCTGCATGTCTAAGGAATAAGAAAAAAATATTTCGAAGACATATGAAGTTCGCCAACACGCATTGGAGCGGCGTGGCGGACACTTCCTTGCCCTAAAACCCTCTCAGTAATGAGAGGAGGCCTGTGCCCAGCTGTGGGACATATATAGGCTATATATGTAACTTTACTTTACTACTGGGTAATATAATAACATTACAACATGTTAGGGAGGGTATGAGACTTATATTTCGGACGAAGTACCTCGTATAATTACAGTAGAACTTTACTTAAGGTAAGTTATTTTAATTTAGTAACTATACTCTTACTTAGTCGGAGATATATTTACTTTGTAGATATGTTTAGTTTGTATTTGATGAAGTTGAAAGGTAAAATAATCATTCAATAATTTAACTAGGCAATGTTTATTTTAAAATTGAAATGGTACGTTACAAAATACCTCATAAGTTTTAACTTCTAGGTATTTAGTTATTACAATTATACCACATTTACATTACAAACTGAATTTGCAAAAAAAATAATTATGATTCTCTTCCACTAAAGGTCTATTGTAATGGTTTGCAGATACACTAGAAGCTGCAGACCAACCTGCTGCTCTGAAAATGATATCCATAGTCACACTATTTTTATGTGCAAAAGATGTGGACGCATGTCTAGTAGAACGTGGGGTGAATTTTTAGTATCTATTCCATATTCTCCCATCACTTGTCAAATCCAACGACTTACAGTTTCAGTACTGGCCCTCTGGTAGAGTTTTTTTTATAAGATATAAATAAATAATCTGTATTATTTGACCCTACATACTTTCTCAGTGTTTTAGTATATTCAATATACTATCTAAGTGTATTTACTGGACAGATATCCGGTTTTGTACTAAATAGGGTAAATTAATTAACATATCCCTATTATCTGGCGCAGTAGTCTTTAAAATATCGGTGATCCTTATCTGAACTCCTGATGCCATACACTCAACATTAAGTAAGTTAATTACAGCATTGTCTGTATTCTTTGTGCACTTGTGAGAGCAATTAACACCACTAACTTTTTAATTAAAATACAAAATGTTCACTAAGGAATTGTAAAACTTTTGGTATTGACAATTAATACGAGTAAATATTGAGGTCATTACAAAACACCCACCACTTGTAAGTGCTTTAATATACTGTTTTATTGTATTTTTTGAAAGTGATGCTATCATTACTCACATACACATACCTTACAGCTTCAATCGGGGTCAGTCTTTTTTTGAAGGCTTCCCTGGTAATACACAAGCTCCAAGAGAAAGACTGCTGTGTAGAGTATGTAGTGTTCTGAAAGGCGAGAACAATAATTGTTTTTAGGGATTAAATTTTAATATTTTAGATATGGGCAAGTCATCAATAAATGGCCTGGTCATTTTTAATTTTTGTATGATTTTTGGAATTAATGCAAATGGAGGAAATGCATAAAATAATTTAAAGTTGGACCACTTAGTGGTGAAAGCATCAATCTTTTTTGAAGATGGGTCTTAATGCCATGAAAAATAGCTGCTGCATTTTGCATTAGCTATTGTAGCAAACAAATCAATGTTTGTTTCACCAAATTCAATTAAAATTTGTTGGAATGCATTATGTGACAACTCCCATTCGCACTCAACATTCTTAATTCTGGATTCATAATCAGCCTCATTATTTTCTCTTGATTGTATGTATGATCTAAACAGCCAAATTTGTCGAACTTCACACTATTTCTACGAGTATATGTGTATATGTTCCACCCATTTTATTATTGTAGGCAATCGCTGTGGTGTTGTCGATTCTCAAAAAAATTTGGCAAAATGTTACATCCTTAGCAAAACACTACAAACCTAGGAGGGCAGCTAATACCTCTAAAAATTAATATGATTCTTCTTATCTAAATCTGTCCAAGCCCATGAGCTACCTCACCGTTACAGCATGCACCCCAACCTGTCCCCGAATCATCTGAGTAAATTTCCAAATCAAATTTATTTTGTCTTATTAAGTTTTTAGAGAATTTTATCTGAGTCATCCACCGTAGCAGATCCTCTTTACATTCAATGTTAATAATCATTTTAGCATCAAAATTATTATTTGATCTACATAAGGCTACATAACTTAAAATAATATATTGTAGCCTAAGGTCTAACTTAGCTAGTTTTCATATACGAATGATATTATAGCCTTCGCAAGTTCTAAACCTGTTACTTGTCGGTTCCTATTTTATTATTCCGAAAATTTGGTGTACTGGTAGAAACTAGCCATCGAACATGATAATTCGTATATGAGAACTAGCCAAGTCAGACATGAGGCTACAATATATTATCCTAAGTTACAAGAAGAATTGATATTTTATGTTGTTATAAATAAATTTCAGGACTGACGATTGAACTTGCCACCCATTTAGATCTCACTTCTTTTGTCGTTAAAGTCAACAACCAAGGCATATATCATAATATTGAACTTGGCTCGCATTTCACATTTATGTTTTTGATGGGATAAGTATTACAGAATCACTAATACAACCAAGCTCACCGATCTTGGATTGTTATTTTAATTCTATATTATTTAAACAAAGTTAACTGACCTTGTTTTCTTTACGTACTTAAAAGCTTAAAACCATTAAAAATACAACAGCAAACGCTAGAGAACTTCTCTGTATTCAATATGTAAAAATCACTTCACCGGAGCGTTTTAGTAATATGTCCCACAACTTGTAAACAAATTGCCCATAAAGTGAAAGCCCTTACCTTCAACAGGTACTATAATTTCTTGTTCCTCGATGTCACTATGCGTATTAGATTCTGACAAAATGTCCGGTGTTTGTGATTTTTCTTTTTGTCGCCTTTCCGGTTCCTTTTGTAATTTCTTAATTTTTCTTTGTATTTTCCCGCAGAATCACCATACCGCTTTCTTTTAGGCATATTTTTGGACTTTTTTATAACTTAGGATAATTAAATGGTTAAACGAACTTACCTTAAGTGAAGTTCAACCATAATTATACGAAGCTCCTTGTCCTAGACATTCTTAACAATTGTAGTACGCTGTATTCCATGCCAGCATCACAATTTATTCAAGCTCGCTAAAAAGAATTTTAAAGCAGTATATCTGGCAACACTGTATCAACCCGTCCGTCAATGCAACTTCATTATGTTTAAAGCAAGAAATTAGATGAGCAACCCTAACCCAAGGAGGGTTGGGCCGGGAGTACCGTCTAGGACAAGGAGCTTCGTATAATTATGGTTGAACTTCACTTAAGGTAAGTTCGTTTAACCATTTAATTATACTCCCTCCTTGTCCTAGACATTCTTAACAATTGTAGATGTTTGAAGACAGGGTTGCGAATTTATAATACCAATGAATGGAAATTTGCAATTTCGCTTATTTTATAAAAAATGTTGAACATATTGCCTGTATAGTAAATTTAAATTAATAACATAAATAAATTATCGTTATTTCATAACATTTCCTTATACACATAAGGCCAGCTTGATTGCAGCAGAAGTGGCCCTGTGGAAGAATTATGACTGAAAAAAAAACAATCTGGAGTATCTATTCCAGTTTAATTTTAACATCTTATAACTTACTTAAGAAATTCTATTCTAAGTGGGTTAAATTTATCACTATCTTGTGTTCTGTTTTCTATTAAAATATTCACAAGAAAGGCTCAACGCCTCCTCATTTATTTTTTCCCATACAAACCCTGTTGAAGTGAAATTCTATCTATATCTCAACTATATATCTGAGCTCCGTTTGAGTAAATGTAATATATGTTGAAGGACCATGTATGTATATTATAACCTATAACTCATCACTGCTCAGCTTGTTACTAGTTTTTGTAAATTTCTGTATTCTCAATATTTATTGCAATATTCTGTAGTTAATAATCTAAAAGTAACTTATTATTAAGTCTATTTTATAACTCAAACCTAAGTAAAAGTCACAAAAGCCCAGGAAGGAATTTCATTACACTTACTACAATTTGGTACGATAAAGAATTATTTTATTATTTTATAATTTATAGTATTTGACATAGGAGAGTTCACTATAATTCTTAGTATGAATTTTGGAGTGAATCTTGGAGTGCTATATTTTACAAAATACTTCACAAAAATAGTAACCAATGATGTGTATGAGATGTCTATGAGATGACTGTGTGATGATGAGTGTTAATAATAATTTGTTATTTTATTCAAAATAAATAATTCATTATTTCACATTTACTGCTCATGTGAAAAAAAAACTACTTTATAGTTTATAGTGAGAGCGCTTTAATGTTAATTCAAAACCTGTCTAACCTCAAAGTGTTAGCTCTAAAAGGTCTGAATAGTTAACCGTGTCTATCCTCTATGTGATAGCTGTAACGGTTTAAAGCCTGCGGTGATTTTTTCCGAGTCATAGTCCATCTTAAAGTCTTCCTTCAAGTGATATTGCTTTCAATTCAAACCTGTCTAACCTCATTATTGTTAGCTCTAGGGTTTGAATAGTCAACCGTGTCTATCCTCTATGTGATATCTCTAACGGTTTAAAGCCTGCAGTGATGTCTTCTGAGTCCTAGCCCATCTTAATATCTAATGATAGCATCTTATATGTGAATTAAGACCTGTCTACCTTCTAAGTCATAGCGGTAAGGTCTGAATAGTTAACCATGTCTATCCTCATAAATGACAGCTCTAATGCATAG